TGATATGACTAGCATACATATATTCTATGTTTATGTTCGATAGTGTTACATGCTAGAACTAATGACTTAATGTGATGCTCTTAAACTTTTGTCATACCAGATTGAGTTTTATGGGGATTTTGATGGGAAATTCCACAAAAGCTTGGGGCTAGACAAGGATCTCTCTGCTGCATTACTCGGGCCACGGTCTGAGAGGTAATACACTGCAAAGTCCATTTGTAGAAATGTTTGTATCGTGAACCATTGATCTAACAGATTCGTTGGAATTATGATGTCCATGTTCAGATGGTCGGCTTATGTAGAAGACGGTAAGGTTAAGGCGGTGAATGTGGAAGAAGCACCGTCTGACTTCAAGGTTACAGGGGCAGAAGTCATCTTAGGACAGATCTAAAAGGGGTTTTTTCCAGAGTTGTTGTTTCTTCTGACTTGCAACTGAAAATAAGTTTGATCCGAACATGTTCCAAGGATCACACCAAGAAACAGCTTGACTTGTTTTTGTTTTGTTTCCACAGTTTCTGTTTCAATAAAAATTATGTGTTTTGCCGTTTCTCACCAAAATGTAAATCGATCATAATATAAATTAGAAACCAATATGATCTCATCAAATCCAAAGCCAATGCGAAATCTTCCATTGCTCTCTTGCTCGTCATCGCTGCACAGAAGAAGCTTTTGCAGGCAGCCTCATGAGCATTTGCGAGACTCTCATTGGTTGATTCCATTTCAATCTTCATAGACTCAATATTAAAATCCTGAACACAACTATCTTCTTCTTCACTCTAATCTTGGCTATGTAAGATTGATGTAAGTTTATCTATCACGAATCCTGAACAGACTTTCCCGAACCTAAGTAAAAAAGGAAACAAACAAAAAAGAGTTCAAAAAAATGGAAACAACGACAAAAGAGTTTAAAAAAAAGGAAATAACACAAAAGAGTTAAATAAAAAGGAAACAAAAACACAGAATGAGTAAAAAAAAAGGAAACTTCGAATCCAAGTCTCTATATATACATCCGGTGCCTCCTCTCTTCTCTCTGTATCTGTCTCAAGTCTCAACGTTTTAGTATCATCACAAAAATAGAGAAAAACAGAGAGAGAGAGAGAGAGAGAGAGAGAGAGAGAGAGAGAGAGAGAGAGAGAGAGAGAGATGCAATTTCATGCGCAATTGCTCTGATTTTATGATTTTCTTCTTCGAATTTCATGAGTTGTTCATCTTTGTCTCCAACTTGTTTGACGTTTGACTTGTTGTGTTGTCATAACTCTTTGACAAATCAAACAAGAGACGAGCGTGATGGAAGATGATGTAGACTCTTCGTCGACCAAGATGAGCCCTTCGTTTAGAATCATTCCAGCGATCGGTGAGTGGTGAGATCTCACTGAGACGAATCAAATAACTCCATGAAGTTAGAGACGACATGATGTTAGAGCTTCTCTATTGCGAGCAGCAATAATCGGCGACGGAGATGGCGATAGAGAGAGGTGGTGCATGTATCGGAGTTAGATTAAAGTGGCTCTGGCGTTTCCGGTCACGGTGGTGGGAGTTGGATTGATATCATCATAAGGCTTTTGCACAACAAAGCCCAACAAAAGAAACAAATTCAGCCCATATGAAAGGTCAATTTTTATCCCATCTTTTTTTCTTTCTAAATTAATAGATTTTTTTTTTAACAATTAACTTGGATACTAAATATATATAATGTACAAGGTGAATAAAGGTAACGGCAAGAGTTGGCTGCCTGCCTCTTTGCGCCTCCCTTTGGGATC